AATTAAACTTAAATTAGAGATAAACATCATTAAAAATCACTTTTATAAATAAATAAAAAAATTTTTTTACAAGTTCAAACCCATTCCAACAGCATCACTTGCTATCAAAACATCATATTCACTATCAGGATCATTAAATAATTTGGCTTGTAACGTCCTTGTTTCTATAAAAATCATCATTATTAAAAAATATCACTATTTATCATCACCACAATCTTAAAAATAATAATATTATTAAATAAACCAGTTGATATACCAGGAGGTAAGCCACCATAAGCAACAGCACAACGTAAACCTGTAGTGTTTTCAATATTTCTTTTAAGTGCGAATATTTCTTTTCTTGAAAAGGTCACTACACAATCTCCTTTTTGTATTCCTTTGAGATTATTTTTAAGAGAATAGTCACAGATGACAAGTTTTGATAATCTTTTATATTCCCTTACTTCAACCTCTTCATTGACACTCTTACATATCGACTTTATTAGATTAATAGCTGCTGGTTCACCACAAATATGTATTTCTTTTGCTTTTAGTCCTAATTAAAGTATGATATATGCATATTTAAAATAAAATAGCTGCAAATAAATATATCTTAATTATTTATTACCTAATAGTGCTTGTGTCCATGCCCAGCCTCTAAAAGGATCACTGATCATTTGAATTTCGTCTATGACAGCAACATCCAATTGTCTATTTAAATTAGCCATTTCTACAGTTGAAGAAGTCAATGGTACATAAATTCCATCCAACTCTTTTCTTTCTTCGCCAGTAACTAAATTACACGGTATTCCATTATTATTCATACGATCAAAGATCTCATTAGCAAGTAATCTTAATGGCCCACAATAAATTCCAGATTTAGCTGTCTCCAGACATTTTAATGCATTATATGTTTTTCCTGAATTTGTAGGTCCAACGTGTAATATTATTTTGCTAAAATATTATTTATATATAATTAGTTTTTTCTTTTACTAAAAAACAAATAGTTGTTTATTTATTTTAGATGATAAATAAACAATAACTTACCGTTGCATACTCCTAGCCTCTGGGTGCCATTCTATAGGCGTACTTAAATCACTTAATTGTTTCAATGAGTTGTATCTTTGCTTGTGTTCATTCGACATGTAATCTTGTGAAAATTCCAAAAATGCAGATTTCAACGTTTTCTCTACTCCCACCTTCTATTTTTTTAAAAACAGTTTTGAATATAACGAATTATTATTTGATTTTGTTTTACGAGTCCTAATTTGGATTTGAGTATAATCATTTCGATGAAACGAAAATCTTGTCTTATGAAAGTTGTAAATGGTTGCATTATTAGAAATATAACATTTTTTATTAATAAATTTTTTTGAATTTTTAAAATTCATCTTTTTTGTGATTTTTTAGATCAACATTTAAATCTTATCAATCAAAAAAAAATGTCAATTAACATTGGAATCATAGGGTTAGGACTTGTAGGCTCAGAATTTATTACTCAATTAGCCGAATATTTATCAAAAAATATAAAACCTACTTTCTCAGTTGTAGCTTTAAAGAATTCCAAAAAACAATTATTAAGTGATGATAAATATGCACCCTTAAATTTGACAACGTGGAAGGTTGATTTAGAAAATAAAGGAGAATCTTCAAATCTTGAAAGTTTCCTTGATTATCTTTCTTCTAATTCCCTTCCGACTGTCCTAGTAGATAACACTTCAAGTCAAGAAATCGCCAACAAGTATCCATATTTTCTTAAAAAAGGATTGCATATCATCACACCTAATAAAAAACCATTTTCGAGCGATACTGCTTTGTTTAAAGAGATAATCAAAGTTTCAGAAGAAACAAAAAAATTTGTTTATAATGAATCGACAGTTGGAGCAGGATTGCCTATTATCAGTACAATCAAAGATTTGATTAGAACTAATGACAAGATATTGAAGATTGAAGGGATTTTTAGTGGAACGTTAAGTTATATTTTTAATGAGTTTTCAAAGTCGGGAAATGACGAAGTATTGAAAAAGTTTTCAGATATTGTTAAGATCGCCAAAGAAAATGGTTATACCGTACGCAAATAAAATTTTTGTTAACACTCGAAATGTTATTTTATTTTTCCTTTATTAAAAACAAATCTTTCGATTATAGGAACCTGATCCGCGTGACGATTTAAATGGATTAGATGTAGCTCGCAAGGTAAACTTTATTAGATTTTATCTTCTAATCAATAATTTAAATTAAACGACGTGAATAATGAATGAATTGATAATAGGTTATAATCTTGGGTAGATTTTGTGGATTAGTAGATTTAAGTTTAGAAACATTATCAGTTGAAAATATTGTACCTGAACCATTACAAAAAGTTATTACTACTGATGAATTTTTGGAGAAATTGCCAGAATTTGATCAACACTTTACAGATTTAAACAATTCATCAAATTCCAAGAATCAAGTGTTAAGATATGTTGGTTTGATTGATTTTAATAAAAACCAAAGTTGTGTGAAATTACTTAGGTATTTGTTTCTTCTATAATATAGAAAATATGATGTGACATTAATAGATTAATATTAATTTCATTGTTTTATTGTTGTCGTCATTAGTTTACCATCAACTCATCCTTTTTCATCTTTAAAAGGTAGTGACAACATTATTGCAATCACTACTAAAAGATTTACCAACCCATTAATTATTCAGGGTGCAGGTGCAGGTGCTAGCGTAACGGCCTTTGGTATTTTTTCAGATTTATTTAAAATA